CAAAATTCAAAATGGCAGACATTCCATCATGGCAGACCTTATGGGTCCCTGACGCAAATTTGATCCTTGTGAGGAGAGGGACCTACAGTATGCACTGAATTTCATGACTTTAGGTCAAACAGGGTGAGAGGTGTGACCTTTCAAAGTTTCCATTTTCAATCTCGTTATAGGGCCACCATTTGGCCAATCAGTGTAATTTTGTAAATGCCAGATCTCTATGGCAAGATGCATCATTCACCCAAGTTTTGTAAAAATCAATTCTGTCTGAGAAATAACAGTGTGACTAACGAATGAACGTACTAATGGGCGGAGAGAGATCCGCAATTCCCTCCCAGATTTAATTGTGGGGGACAATTAATCACATACTGTGGCTTGCGAAAATATTCACCACCCGTGGCATTTTTCCTATTTTGTTGCCTTACAACCTGGAATTAAAATTGATTTTTTGGGGGTTTGTATCATTTGATTTACACAACATGCCTACCACTTTGAAGATGCAAAATATTTTTTATTGTGAAACAAACAAGAAATAAGACAAAAAAACAGAAAACTTGAGCTTGCATAACTATTCACCCCTCCAAAGTCAATACTTTGTAGAGCCACCTTTTGCAGCAATTACAGCTGCAAGTCTCTTGGGGTATGTCTCTATAAGCTTGGTACATCTAGCCACTGGGATTTTTGCCCATTCATCAAGGCAAAACTGCTCCAGCTCCTTCAAGTTGAATGGGTTCCGCTGGTGTACAGCAATCTTTAAGTCATACCAAAGATTCTCAATTGGATTGAGGTCTGGGCTTTGACTAGGCCATTCAAAGACATTTAAATGTTTCCCCTTAAACCACTCAAGTGTTGCTTTAGCAGTATGCTTAGGGTCATTGTCCTGTTGGAAGGTGAACCTTCGTCCCAGTCTCAAATCTCTGGAAGACTAAAACAGGTTTCCCTCAATAATTTCCTTGTATTTAGCGCCATCCATCATTCCTTCAATTCTGACCAATTTCCCAGTCCCTGTCGATGAAAAACAGCTTTGCAGCTCCTTCAGGGTTATCTTTGTTCTCTTTGTTGCCTCTCTGATTAATGCCCTCCTTTTCTGGTCCGTGAGCTTTGGTGGGTGGCCCTCTCTTGGCAGGTTTGTTGTGGTGCCATATTCTTTCAATTTTTTAATAATGGATTTAATGGTGCTCCGTGGGATGTTCAAAGTTTCAGATATTTTTTTATAACCCAACCCTGATCTGTACTTCTCCACAACTTTGTCCCTGATCTGTTTGGAGAGCTCCTTGGTCTTCATGGTGCCGCTTGCTTTGTGGTGTCCCTTGCTTAGTGGTGTTGCAGACACTGGGGCCTTTCAGAACAGGTGTATATAGACTGAGATCATGTGACACTTAGATTGCACACAGGTGGACTTTATTTAACTAATTATGTGACTTCTGAAGGTAATTGGTTGCACCAGATCTTATTTAGGGGCTTCATAGCAAAGGGGGTGAATACATATGCACACACCACTTTTCCGTTATTATTATTATTTTTTAAACAAGTTCCTTTTTTCATTTCACTTCACCAATCTGGACTATTTTGTGTATGTCCAGTACATGAAATCCAAATAAAAATCAATTTAAATTACAGGTTGTAATGCAACAAAATAGGAAAAACGCCAAGGGGGATGAATACTTTTGCAAGGCACTGTAATTTCCCATTACAGCCAGAAACATCATCTAGTCAGCCAAAACCAAGCCCGGGGACTGTATGATCTCATTCACATTTAGCATGCAGCAATCAATCATCAATTTTTACAAACATTTGTATAATGTCCCTTTTCCTCGAATGGGGGTTGGTGGAATTAATTGATGGACTTGGCCGTGGACCAGGAAAGTAGAGTGCTATGTCCCTGCAATGGATCTGTAATTTTAGCAGTCAGGCAGTCTACAGTAATGACTAAATTACCCCAATATCTCATTATCCTCAAGCTTTGAAAGTTTGTAGACTAGTAGGCATGGTCCCAAATAGAGCCCATATAACACTGCTTTAAGTAGGAGAAAGAATAGACTGAGAAAGAGGTGTGGAGAGTTATCCTTTTACCACTGCACCGCAGTGAAATAATAGGCTGTTTTATTTTCAGAGTAAAAGGGCAGCCATTTATGCGAAGCAGGGTTCAGGTTTTGAGTCAACACTCCATTGAGAAGCAGTGGGCTGTGTAGCTCCCAGTCCCAGTCTACATCCCAAATATCACCCTATTCCCTATTCCCCCAATGGGCCCTGGTCAAAAGTAGTGCACTACATAGGGAATATATAGAGTGCCATTAGGGATGCAGAACCAGTCTGGTATTCCATCTCCCTTGGTAGCAGCCTGAGCCAGGATAGTCTAACCACCCTTCCATCAGTCAGACCTCACATCTAAAATGAATAGCCGCCTCTGTAACTAGATCATTCTCCACTTCTGTTTGTTTGCATTTCAAAAAACCAAGACGATCAGCTGGCGGCACTAGGCACTCGGCACCCCTCCGTTAGCTACACAGTGGGGAGTCGAGACGAGGCATAGCTCCATGATATGCCAGTGGCAGACAGTGAGACTTTACGTAAATACCTCAAAGCAAATAGCAGGGCTGGTGGGTGGGTCGGACTCCTAGCTAATGATCATCCATTACCAGTGGTATTGTAAAACGAGGACAGATATGACCCGGTTGCCAGCAGAGAAAAGAGCCTGTTGGTTGGAGCTGTGGTTTATGTCCTGAGTCTGGATATAGATGTTAAAAGAGAGTCCAAATTCTTATGGAACGAACACTGCTGCTGCCTGTGAATCATTTCGTCGCTCACGTCGTAACACCCCCACCCATCTCCCACCATCGTCCTTATTTCTCATTTGTCAGCTGTGTCCTTGGGTTACATGGCTCTAACTCACCAGTAGCTGGCTCTGGTAGTTGACCTGTTCTGTGGTGTTTTGTCTTGTCTGTGATTCGCTGTTTGCAGGAGAGTGTGGAACAGGAGCACCAGACACAGCGTGATGTCACTGAGGCTCCAGAGCCAACTGTAACAGGTGAGTGATACAGTTACAGTACAGTCATACACTATTAGGGTGGGAAAATTCAGGTAACTTTACCAACATTCCCAGGTTTTCCAGAAATCCTGGTAGGAATATTCCTGGAATCAGGATGTAAAAAGCAAGAAAATCCAGCAATCCTCCAACAGGGATTTCTGAAAAACCTGGACATTTTGGGAAAGTTAACAGCATTTTGCAACCTAACAGTAATATACTTTCCTTGTCCACATAACAGATCTGTATTGAACCAGCGGAACATCAGAGCCCAGAGTTAATAGAGGTGACTGGGCTCAGATCCATAATGGTTTCATGAGTTCTGGTGTCTTCAGTAACCTGTGAACTACACTGCCCTGACAATAAAAAACAGAAATACCTTATTTACATAAGTATTCAGAACCTTTGCTATGAGACTCGAATTGAGCTCAGGTGCATCCTGTTTCCATTGATCATCCTTGAGATGTGTATACAACTTGATTGGAGTCCACCTGTGGTAAATTCAATTGATTGAACATGATTTGGAAAGGCACACAACTGTCTATAAAAGGTCCCACAGTTGACAGTGCATGTCACAGCAAAAACCAAGCCATGAGGTCAAAGGAATTGTCTGTAGAGCTGCGAGACAGGATTGTGTCGAGGCACAGATCTGGGGAAGGGTACCAAAACATTTCTGCAGCATTGAAGGTCCCCAAGAACACAGTGGCCTCTATCATTCTTAAATGGTAGAAGTTTGGAACCACCAAGACTCATCCTTACGGTGAAGCATGGTGGTGGAAGCATCATGTTGTGGGGATGTTTTTCAGAGGCAAGGACTGGGAGACTAGTCAGGATCGAGGCAAAGATGAACGGAGCAAAGTACAGAGAGATCTTTGATGAACACCTGCTCCAGAGCACTCAGGACCTCAGACTGGGGCGAAGTTTCAAATTTGGTAACCTGACGACTCACACTAAATTCTTACGCTGCTCTGTCATTCGCTTCATACTTTAGTCTGAGACTGCCATCATTGAAGTTGCTTGTGGTGGCGAGGGGCACCATGGGTGTTGTACAAAATAAAGTAATCAGTAATTGGCTCATCTCTAACCAATCAGAGTATCAAAGCCAATGATTCATTTTCAAACCGCCACTTTACCCACGTGTGTTCTGGTTCTGGCTCAACCCATCAGTTTTTGGACCAATCAGACGGCCCTGAATGTGTTCGCATTCGGTGAAGGGTCGGGGAGGTACTCAGATCCAGACTCATTGTGGAGAAGAAACTAACGTCCGTGGGCGTGGCATAGAGTTTGGCTGGAGCAAGGAGTCTGGGTAGCCAGGCAAATAAATTGGTAACATGTGTCCTAAGTCTTTTGGCATTTAGTATTTTATTAGGATCCCCATTAGCTACTGCTAAAGCATCAGTTACTTTTCCTGGGGTCTACACAAAACACAAAACGTGACATAATATAGAACATTTAATACACAAGTACATAACAAGGACAGAACTACATACATTTATGCAATGCACACTTCCTATAAAACACTTACCAAAAACACAGTTGGTTACTTTTCTTTCTTCTTGTATTGACCTGACATAAATTACTGACATGTTCGCCTATATCTCGAACAAAATCAGATAAATTGAGCCTCACTACCATCTAGTGGTTTATTGTTGCAAAAATACTTAACTTCTCCTTTTTTTCCAGTGTTGTCAAGTTCTCATCTGCTACAAATATTGAAAAACATTGTACACAAATAATAGGGTGAAAAAGATAATGGTTAATAGATATCACTTTAGAGTGGTAATTGAACTACATCACTCTGTCAACAGGTATAACCTCTCAATGTTCCGTTATCTTGGGCTTTGGGTCATGGCGCTTATTTCAAAGAGGCCGACCCGGCTGTCAGTCTTCTCACCATTTCCAATCTGCCTGACTGCTGCAGAATAGCGTTGTAAAAATGTGTGTGAGTGATTTTCTCCTGGTGTGGGTTGATTTGCAGAGCTGAAGGAGGAGAGGAGAGTCATTCAGATGGATCTGAAGAGGCAGAGCCTCAGCCTCACCTACTGTCCCTCCTCCTCCCCTGTGGAAACACGCCTGCAGAGCAGATCCAGGTTGGCCTCTAGTCTGCTCTATACTCTCCTTTCTAACAGATCCAAAATACCTGTTTTACAACTTTTAACTTCTGTTCTGTGGATTTACAGGCTTTCAGGGGTTTCTGCTGTCAAGCCCAACGCATGTCTCTAGATCTGTTTGATTATTTGTCTGATAAGGATAACATGCATACTTCCCAGACAAGGGCCTAAATTCATTCAGATCAAGCGTTAACCAGCGATAGCCAACACCCGCTTTGCAGATGTTATGGCGGTGTCAAATCAAATGTTATTTGTTCGAGGTGGAACTGCGTTGGAGTCGTCAAATTGGTGAGCAGCTGCTCTTGCGGTCATTGTGTCAAAGCCACACCCATCCGACTGGCGTTAGAAGTTTAGAATGAGAAAGTGTAGGATGTAGATAAAAAGATAATGAGGCTCATATTGAAAATCATTAAACAAAATAATGAGGATTTCTATCATCCTAATCGAGGTGTAGATTACATCTCACATTCCAGTGTTCGGATTGGTAAACAAGGCTGCATGGGATTTCAGTTAAAGCGACTCTGTGCAGCCAATGGCAATGTCCGCTTTAGGTATAATGCTGGGAGCCGCTTGTGGATTTGAGAGCTCTAACACAGTGCCAACTCCGACACCACCAAAACAACCGATATGCAGGTGTCAGCGGATCTGATAGAATCTAGCCCAAGGTCATCACTTACAGTATCTGTCGAAAGTATTTAGCTAATTGCAACCTAGTTGATCTTTGCTGTCATGAAAGGTGTTAATGGCAATGTTGCTATTCCCAGGTCGATAGGATGGACAGGTTTGTCTGCGGATGAGACACAAAGAGACTTGACCCCTGTGGTGGCCCCCAGACCGCATCCTCCACATACCAGGCCCAGTCCACCACTAGTAGCACCTCTAATAAGGAGGACTCCTCCGTTAGACAGGATGAGAGGCCAGCCATGCAGCTCACCCAACACCAGAGAATCCAGCCCTCTCCAACCCTCTGAACATAAACATCCAAGGACTCACAGCCAGAGCTCTGAGGCTTCCCACCCCTGCAACAGAGAACCCACCATCACCACTCATGACATGGACAGCTACCTACCACCCCTGGTCCCCTCTGCTAGTACAGTAACCACCCATGGATCCTACCTCAACTCTGCCTCAGAACAGAGAATAAAGAGCAGAACTTGTAGGCGTAGTGGTCAGCCTGTGTCTGTGACTGAGGGAGCTCAAAGACATGATGACTCATGGTCAGACTCAGTGAACAGCTGGCCCTTGTTACCTGGTGGCCACCATCGTCTTTGCTCCTCCACACAGCCTCCGGAGCAGATGAGCCCTGTAAGCATGTTCCACCCTGCTCCCCCCACTGTGCAGAGGCCAGCCAGCAGAGGGCAGAGTGGGGCCAGGCGCCTGTGTCTGCCGCAGCAGGGGGACAGCCTGGTTAGCTCCTCGTGAACTGAACTCTTTACTACAGAAGCAGAGGATAGTGAGTCTCTGATACTGTCATGTATGTTCTACCGCCAGAATCTGGTCCTAAAAGGAGACAAGTGTCTCATCAGAGCTCAATAATACTCATACTTGTAAAAGGGATGTCGTAATCTCTTTAATATAAAGTAATCCAAGTCTTCCACAATGAGCCAAGAGACACAGGGATGTTATGTGGTCATTTTCAAGAGACTGATAGAAGACCTGAAAGTGAACACAAGACACAATATGGTTGGATGCTTTCGAAATGATTCAATTTTGATCTACCTAACTTAACCATGTATTGCATGTATTTTGAAGTAAATAAATGTGACTGTATTTGGATAAATAAATGTTCATATGCCTGTAATACATGTTTTATTACTGATCTGCTTTCTTCCATCTAACTAAAGCCACAGCCTGTTCAGAAAGAGAAAACACAAATGGGACATGAACCACACTTGAGTGATCTTTAAAATAGATTTTATTTACCATTTGTAATGGAACAGTTTACGATATACAGCTGACATGACTAAGACAATTCAATGGATTTTGGCCCTAAAGTTCAAGAGACATGGTTAGATATGAGAAAGTACCAGTACTGTGTTCATTTCATTTGTGCTTTATTCTCCACTATGATAGAATTTACAATGGCATAACATGGTGTCTTCTCTGCTGACATGTTGACACAGCAGCTTGTGCAGACCACTGTAAAGGCCTTATTTCAAAATTGAACTTTGTATTGTTAGATATGTTATAAACACAAATGACTTGATTTAAAGTGCTGAAAAAATGTGTAAAAACATGTTTATGAGTAAGAAATTCAAGCGATCTCCTCGGTGATCGTAGCGAACCACAGAGTAGATAAATCACAGTTTTAGTACAGTAGAGGCCGACTATCAGTTTTCAGAATTGGTAACATGTATTCATTTCTTACATCCCATATATAGAAGACTTACTACAGCGATTTCAATATGAGATGATGAACAATGAGTTTCTATACAATGTCCCAAAAATATGAATACTCATCCAATTTGTCCTTGAGTGCACGTTTTACACTATCTGCTTATATTGATTTTAAAGGAAGGGTCTAACCAAATGCCAAGTTAATGAAATAATAATCCCAGTGCAAAAAATAAAGAATAAGATGAAAACTAAGTCACCCTTTCTTACTCTGGATATGAGACATTTGGTTGAACCCATTCCTTATTGACCAATTAGTTTAAATTCTAAAACACTTCCCCAATACATTGATATTTTGATCTAATGTCTTATTTATTGCAGTTACAATGTTACCGATTTTGGTGTTTGATTTCTTGAATTTTTTTGCCACATATGCACATGTAAAATACTCCACCAAATTGAAAAGGCCAGTATGTTTACACAAAGGAATTTACAGCACAGTCGCTATATTGTACCTGGAGGTCGCTGCAGTATAGTACCACGGTGTTGGTTTAATACTGTTGGCATTATTACTATGTAAACTTGATTAACACTGTTATGATATACTTTCCCCAACAGTCATGTACAGTGGGGAGAACAAGTATTTGATACACTGCCGATTTTGCAGGTTTTCCTACTTACAAAGCATGTAGAGGTCTGTAATTTTTATCATAGGTACACGTCAACTGTGAGAGACGGAATCTAAAACAAAAATCCAGAAAATCCCATCATATGATTTTTAAGTAATTAATTTGCATTTTATTGCATGACATAAGTATTTGATACATCAGAAAAGCAGAACTTAATATTTGGTACAGAAACCTTTGTTTGCAATTACAGATATCATATGTTTCCTGTAGGTCTTGACCAGGTTTGCACACACTGCAGCAGGGATTTTGGCCCACTCCTCCATACAGACCTTCTCCAGATCCTTCAGGTTTCGGGGCTGTCTCTGGGCAATATGGATTTTCAGCTCCCTCCAAAGATTTTCTATTGGGTTCAGGTCTGGAGACTGGCTAGGCCACTACAGGACCTTGAGATGCTTCTTACGGAGCCACTCCTTAGTTGCCCTGGCTGTGTGTTTTGGGTCGTTGTCATGCAGGAAGACCCAGCCACGACCCATCTTCAATGTTCTTACTGAGGGAAGGAGGTTGTTGGCCAAGATCTCGCGATACATGGCCCCATCCATCCTCCCCTCAATACAGTGCAGTCGTCCTGTCCCCTTTGCAGAAAAGCATCCCCAAAGAATGATGTTTCCACCTCCATGCTTCACAGTTGGGATGGTGTTCTTGGGGTTGTACTCATCCTTCTTCTTCCTCCAAACTCGGGGAGTGGAGTTTAGACCAAAAAGCTCTATTTTTGTCTCATCAGACCACATGACCTTCTCCCATTCCTCCTCTGGATCATCCAGATGGTCATTGGCAAACTTTAGACGGGCCTGGACATGCGCTGGCTTGAGCAGGGGGACCTTGCGTGCGCTGCAGGATTTTAATCCATGACGGCGTAGTGTGTTACTAATGGTTTTCTTTGAGACTGTGGTCCCAGCTCTCTTCAGGTCATTGACCAGGTCCTGCCGTGTAGTTCTGGGCTGATCCCTCACCTTCCTCATGATCATTGATGCCCCACGAGGTGAGATCTTGCATGGAGCCCCAGACCGAGGGTGATTGACCGTCATCTTGAACTTCTTCCATTTTCTAATAATTGCGCCAACAGTTGTTGCCTTCTCACCAAGGTGCTTGCCTATTGTCCTGTAGCCCATCCCAGCCTATCCCTGATGTCCTTACACAGCTCTCTGGTCTTGGCCATTGTGGAGAGGTTGGAGTCTGTTTGATTGAGTGTGTGGACAGGTGTCTTTTATACAGGTAACGAGTTCAAACAGGTGCAGTTAATACAGGTAATGAGTGGAGAACAGGAGGGCTTCTTAAAGAAAAACTAACAGGTCTGTGAGAGCCAGAATTCTTACTGGTTGGTAGGTGATCAAATACTTATGTCATGCAATAAAATGCAAATTAATTACTTAAAAATCATACAATGTGATTTTCTGGATTTTTGTTTTACATTCCGTCTCTCACAGTTGAAGTGTACCTATGATAAACATTACAGACCTCTACATGCTTTGTAAGTAGGAAAACCTGCAAAATCGGCAGTGTATCAAATACTTGTTCTCCCCACTGTAGCTGCAGACATGTTATGTACCTCCAACAGAACATACTGTAAAATGTATTCCTTTGATTTTCAAGTTTCAACCCAAGCTTTTGTTTGGCAATACTTTTGATATCAGCTGGCTTTTAGAACACGATAAAGGTAGATTAAATCTTGACAATAAAATATATATTTTTTTAGTACAAAAACAAAAGATCTCTTAAAAGGTAGATTGTTTTGTTACATGACAAAATTGATAGTTACTGATTGATTAGAATTACATAACATCAATACTGACACTATCCTGATCTAAGAACAGTACTCAGCAGTAAGGTATCGACTACACACAAATACATATTACACTTAACATCGGCTACTTTTACTACAATAAAAATTTTTTTTACCCCGCCTACCCCAAATAAACACACAAACACCAGTTCCGGGTTTTTTTTTTTTACATGACTGTACAAGTATCTCATAGAGGAAGAGCTCTGTGGACAGCAGAGACCAAAGGGTTCCAATAGCGTGGTGGTTATCCTTAACTTACTAGCTACTGTAGCTAATAAAGAAGAGGACTACAAGTCAACAGTTTAACAGTAACAGGAGGAAGAAGAAATAAAAGTCCTAGAGGACTCCCTGGAAGTATCCAGAGGCAACCTGACCTGAGCCGGCATGTCTAGAATAATCATACATCATTTCATTTTGTTATCAAATCCTGTCATCAGGGCCATTATATACTAACCAACCTTAGCTCAACCATTTACATCTGCTGTAAACTCCTTATTACCTAAATGTAATGTATTCATAGTGTATAGAACACATCAGTTAAAACCATCATCATTATTAATATCCTGTGCTATTGCCATTCCAGGACCACTACTACTCTGCTTTAGAACAGGTTGATTAGTGTGGCCGTACAGTGCTTCTGTTAGCATTATAGGAGAACACACTAGTCTGTTTTCATCTGAAGTAAAGCTTGAGTCTGTTGGGCTGCATCTAACCTACTGGTGTGCTTTTTGTTTTAGTTCAAATAACCAACGAATTTGGGTACGTCCCAAACGGCACCCTATTCCCTTTATAGTGCACTACTTTTGACCAGAGCCCTAGTGCCCTACATAGGCAATAAGAGGCCAATTGGAACCAAATAACCAAAGACTTTAACCACTAAGTAACTACCTACTCCACTGAGTGTCTGGATAGCTAACTGTCATGACACTTTTAACACAGAGAAACTGAAGTAAAATGGAAGGAGAACAACTCATAGTCATATATACGACAGCAGAAACTGGATTTATGCAGTCAGACAAAGATGTTGAATATTATATACAGTGACGTACTGGTTAAAGAAGAAATAACAAATCTGAAGTTTCACCAAGATGCGATGCGCTAGCACTTTAGCAGTTGCATTGCCAGACTACCTCTCTCCATCAGTGCAGGCCAGGCAAGGACCCAGTGGATTCACAATGTTACCACAGACAGGTCTTTGCCTCACTGCAACACAGATGCAATGTAACAGAGTGGAGACGAATGCATTGAATTGGTTGGAGAGATGGGACTTCTTGACAATTGCCAATTCCAGCAATCTGTGCGAGCACTACTCCCACCCTAACCCCAACCCCACAGCATCCTGTCACAAAGTGACAAATACATCTCTCTCCCACTCCAACCCACTAAAATAAATCAATTACCAATAAAAATCAAGTAATGGATAAGGAATGGTAAACATTACTGTTATTTCTTAAGATACTGTAGCTTCTTTACAAAATAAACATGTTTTCCTTATAATTATTTACTATGTTACTTTACAATAATGAAAGATAAAATAAGATAATTATATTGACAGAATGATACTATACAACTACATATAAACTACATAATTCAGTAACTGTTTATTTTTTTTTATTCTTGTGGAGACAAGCTCCATCTCCAGGCCAACCAATGGCCTCTCTCCTTCCTGTTTCCACATCCAATCACACCACTACTTGGCTCAGAGCTTTAAAACGCCTGTAAATACACTTATTTTCCTCTGCAAAGACACCTGCTGATGCAAGTCTCTCAGTTTTGAAAAAGTTAACAAAGACACATACTCCAGCTATGCCACTGAGATATTAAAGTTCATGCATGTTTAACATGTTTTTGGTAACATGCCTTGTTGGAGCAAATCCTACTTGTGAGTAACAGAGGCTATGACGCAACACCACGTGTCCTCCCTCCTCGTTATGCTACATATGTAGGATCTTAATTTGATCACCCTGTTGCTGCATGATTATTTTCCTGCTGTTAGAAACTGGTCAAATTAAGATCCTACATCTGTAGCTGCTTCTGTCGTCAATTAAACGTTCCCTTCACAAGTGAGATGCCACATCGTGAGATGCATTTCCCACGGAAATACCTGGAAGACTAAAAGAGAGATGGCACTTTATTGTACTTAGTTGCATCCATCCACCCATTTGTTTTTGTGTATGAACATGTTATGGTTGTCTTTTTCTTAGCTCCCTCTCTTATGTAAAGCCTACCATAATCAAATAAAATGTACTCAGGTATTGAACGTGTTCAGTAAGTAGTAAATCGTTTTGGGACCCTGAGAATGGGCATCAGGAAATCATGGGCTTCAGTCAGGGTGGCTGTTCAGAAAGCTGGAGACCAACATTCTCTGTGTGTGTGGGGAGTTGGTGCTGTAATGTATGTTAATTGTTTGCCAACATTGTAAGTACAATGGCTTTACTGTGTAGTTGAAATGAAATATTTAGGAGTAGCTAAATAGCCATTGGCTTACTCCAGTATGAGTTGTTCTGGGTAACCCTAAAGCAGCATACGTAACAGTCTGAGTAGTGGAGACTATAGTGTATTAGAGGGTACTGAGAGCCAAAAGCTATACGGTAGATACAACAACAGAAGGGAATGATCAATCCCTAGAGTGGTGCCATGTGTCTACACTGATCCAAAGAACATTTGGTCTCCAGCTTTAAAACCGCCAGCACTGTCGCTAGAAAAGTTGCCAATTCCGAGTGGATTTCTTTACAGATGAAGGAGAAAAATGTTGTCCCTCCCCTATTGTGCTACACAGTGTGTATTTCTACTTCAACTCCTGCATAATATGAAGAAGAGAACAAATCAAATGTTTATAAGAAACTGCATTATGAAATGATGTTGAAACAAGAAGTACAATTCTTTTGGATGACGACCAATTTCTCTAGAGGTTAGAAATAATAAGCCCTTACAATATGTAAAGGTCTCCAGCGAGCGGGTTCTCCCCCACGGTGCGGTGAGAAAGGGTGAGGGGTGGTTGGGTGGGGGCTGGCGCTGGCGCTGGCCCGGGGGGGGCCTCTATGCGCTGGGGGTAGTGTTGTGTGCTGTGGAGCCGTTGCTGCCCTGGATGGTGAGGCTGATCTCATCCCTCTTCTCATCCTCCTTCTCCTTCAGCTCCTCTTTCAGGGGACGCACCTCCACCTCTCCCTCTGAGACTGGGGCGGCGTAGTGGCCTATCCGGTGCTCACTCAGGGCCGGGCCCCACTTGATGTCCGGCTTGCACGAATTCTTCAACCGCTGTAAGGGGTAAAGGGTCAGAGGTCAATGCGATGGGAGGGACACAGGTTTATTATTTATTGCTAATTAGAGGCAGGTAAAGAAGTTGAGAAAGTGATGTAATGCAAGTTATGGAATAACATGACACCAATCGGGTTCTCATTTACGATCCTTCATTTCTTTCAGTTCAAAGACCTTAAATGTGTCATTTAACAGAAAAAACGGAAACACTTCCACTACTAGTGCGAACAATGTCTGCTTCCAACACTAAAGACAGACAGAGCTCTAAACAGAGATCCTGTGGATTTTACCTCTAAAAATGTGGTTCCCTCAGACTTGGAGATCTTGTAGAGAGCGTAGATGGGTATACATGTGACTGAGGACATGGCCATAAGGAAGCCAATGGCTAAGGACCAGCCAGGGTACACGTAGTCGTTGTAGGTGATGGGCTTGTACTGGATCACTGTGAAGATCAGGATGAACTGCAAATGCAAAGAGAGAAGAGGGATCATCAGGGTCAAGTCATTTCTTTTAACAGAATATACCCTATTTCAATCCTCATCCAGTACATATCTTAAGTGATCACTTGTGTGTGTCCTAGGTCATTCTGGTATTCTGGCAGGTGTTTTGCATGACAGTTTTGTTGAGCAATACGGATTAGCGAGGATTAGACAAGTGTAATGGAATGCAGAGCAGGTCAAGCCTCTAAAACATGTCAACAAGGAGGCACTGGGTGGTAGCTACTGGGGAGGAGGCTGATGAAATTCTCTTACAGATATGATGATGGGCGACACGAATCTCCAGCAGACCCGGAAGAAGATGGGAGGGGGGAAACCCAGCATCATCTCAACATCCTTGAAGTATTTCTTGTGTCCTGAACACAAACAGTACAGCATGTTGTCAGTCATTCCGTTCCAGTCAGTTTGATTCACTTTCACCAATAGCCTTGGAGAGCATTGTGGACGATAGGCATTTATAATCGAGGAAAGACAGTTGGACTCACCATAGACGTACATGATGCAGATGCACATGATGCAGGAGATGATAACCAGAGAGAAACTAGCAGCGTAGTTATCCATGAGCAGTAGCCAGTAGATCCCAGCCTAAATACATGAGAGCACAGGTGGAGAACACAACATCAGTATACATCCTGAACATTTGTGCCTGGATAATTAAGTGTGTGTTTATGTGTGTGTGTGCATGCATGTGTATGTTTGTGTGTATGGTTGTTGGTGTGTGTGTAAACATCTCCTGTCCATTACCTGTGTGGTGAGCGGCACCCCCAGCAGGAAGCCCACTATAGCCACTCCTCCTGTGACCACCGTCTTGTTCCTAATGATCCAGTCAGTACCGATCTCATCCACGATGGCCGTCACCAGGGTCTCCAGCAGGCAGAACTGCACACAGGGACACATTGACAGGTCAACACTCAGCATTGACTTCTCTCAAAAACCCACTTTCTCCAACAATTTTTTTCCCTCCAAAATCAACGTGTCAAGTTGAGCCCCACTGACTATTTGGGAAGACAGCACTACTGTCTGCCCCACGGCCGTTGTTATTGTTTTTGTTTTGTTGACGAAGCGGAGGTGAGGAGCGTCGCACATCGTGGTAAAAATATGTGCAGTACATTTTCTGCTGTTCTATCGCGCGTGCAATAATGTCAGAGGGAAAAAACAGTGTTCATTGTTTGCAGTAACTTCTTTGTTGTTGTAATATCGCAAACGGACGTGGCAGTTTCACCATTAAGGATTCCAGCTTTAAATGACATCGAAAAGTAGTCCCATTGGACAGGGGTTCCGTCCCAAATGGCACCCTATTCCCTACATAGTGCACTACTTTTGACCAGAGCCCTAGGGGAATAGGGTGCCATTTGGGACACAGACAGGATGTCATGGTGGTTGACTGACTCACCTGTGTCCCCAGGCCCAGCAGGATGAGCATGAAGAAGAAAAGCAGGGACCAGAGGGGGGAGATGGGCAGCAGAGTGAGGGCCTCTGGGTAGGCCACGAAGGCCAGGCCGGGGCCGTGGTCGGCCACCTCAGATACATCCACGTTCAGGTGGTGGGCCATGAAGCCCAGAATGGAGAAGATGACGAAGCCTGCATACACACTGGTCGCACAGTTGGTGATGCTGATGATGATGCTGTCTCTGTATGGGTGACCAATCAATGGAGAGAAAACAGGAAGAGAAGGTTATTAGTATACTGCATTAACCTCTACGGGATCGGTGTCCCGTATATGGGACGGTTGATCTAACGTGCGCTAATATGATTAGCATGACTGTTGTGAGTAACAGCAGACATAGACATGTCTTATATGGGCAGAAATCTTAAATTATTGTTCTTCAAACTGCACTGTCCAATTTACAGTAGCTATTACAGTGAAAAAATACCATGTTATTGTTTGAGGAGAGTGCACAACAACAAAAAACTTAGCACAGCAACTCGTTTGATACATTCACCTCTGAAGGTAAATAATGTACTTACATTCAGTAATCTTGCTCTGATTTGTCATCCTAAGGGTCCCAGAAATAAAATGTAGCATAGTTTTGTTTGATAAAATCAATTTTTATATTCAAATGTAGGAACTGGGTTCTAGGGTTCTACAGTTTGAACCCCTGCTGTCTCTGGCTCCACACCCACCCCGCCCGGCCAACTAGATGTGTGAAAGTTAGTGTTTAAGCTAATGATCAGTGGCGGCTCCTGAAAAAATTCTCAGGAGGGGCAATTTTTCTGATGATTTAGGTGACCTACACACATTTTAAAAAAAGATATGTCCAGCAACAACATGAAGACAGGGGCAGCATATAAGTCAATACCAGAAGCATTTATTGACTGATCTCAAAAGTGTTGGCTTACCAGGGTTGGTGGAGCCCTCAGTTTCATCTTTGCCTCGCAAAGCTAACTCAAACACTCCGCAAAACTTCACACACTGGATTAGCCGGCTGAGGATGTGGCGGTTCTTGCTAATGTCGTAGTAAATATATTTGTTATAGTGAATATGGAATATGATATGTTGAGTAAAATGTTGTGCTAAGATCTATTTAGGTCAGGAGCTGGTTATAAGTTCTGTTCCTATCCAATAACAATGGACAAAAGGGTCCTATCTTGTCAGCCTTGTCAGCAGGTGGCCAAGGACAACACCCACGCCATAGGCCTCTCAGTTCTTCCAACTCACAAGTTCTTGCTCTGAGGACACACACACACACAAACACACACACACACACATCATCACTGTTAAACACACACACACACACACAAAAATCCCCTCTCTTAGGCTGAACATTTGAAGACAGAGAACCCGACTCAGAGCCAATGCAACAGTGACAGTAGCCTGGAGGTGACCTCGCCCAACTCATCAGGACCAATCAGAAGATCAGAACTACTAGATTGAACCTACTTCATTTATTGCATAAAATGTCTGCACACAATGTTTCGGGGCTCTCTTCAGATAATAATAATAATAATAATAATAATATGCCATTTAGCAGACGCTTTTTATCCAAAGCGACTTACAGTCATGCGTGCATACATTTTTGTGTATGGGTGGTCCCGGGGATCGAACCCACTACCTTGGCGTTACAAGCACCATGCTCTACCAGCTGAGCTACAGAAAGTGGATACTCATGGATGCGCATTGCAATTGTCAAATGTCAACACAATTGGAGACACCACGTCATTTTTGGAGACATGTTATTGACAGTAAACTATTGTAGATGCGACTGCTAACTAAATAAAACATTTTAGCTGGCTAGCTAATCATCTTAGCTAAATGTGGGGCAAACAATTCAGTTATTTACCGTTAATTTGAGGGATTGGGGTGAAAGAAATCGAGTTACATAGTGATACTTTACGATATACTGTATTGACAATATCGCAATATTTTTGCGCTAGTTGGCTGTACCTGCACCAAAACACCATTATTGTTCCTTCATAGCTTGTTCTCAATCTTTTCACATTGGGAGCCAATTAGTTTTCAGCACTTTTATTTCCATGACTGATCAAAACTCGTTCTCATGGCTTTCTGATCCCTCTGCAACAGACATATGGTGCGCAATAAAATCACAGTATCGAATCGCAATACGTATAGAATCATGAGACTCGCAATGCTGATGCATATATCTTATCGTGAGGTTCCTGGCAATTCCCAGCCCAAGTTCATTTGCCACAACAAATCTCTTCGCTAGCAAACGCGATGTCTTCTCCAAAACGACAATGTGTCTCCAGCAATGTTTACTTTTTTGACGTTCTATGGCATCTCCACTTTCCAAGCATATATGACCACATGTAATATTTTGGTAAGTGATGCAAATAGTGAACTATGTAGGGCCAGGATGTAAAATATATGTAGCTGCAGCAATTTCTCTTATCTGATATGGTAAGTAATGGGGCTTAATTTATAGCTCCCTAAGAGTTTGACGAACGGGTCCGTGAACGCGATTCCAGATATATTTACCTCTGAATAAACTGCCTTTATTACACCATATCCACCCTGTCCAAAGTCTCTACTTGGTCTCAGTTCTCTCCAGTAAACTTGTGATTATCAACACTAACCTCATCGTTGTGGCGGCGGACAGCTAGCCTGTATCCCTCGTCATCCAGTTGAGTGAGTGGCAATGTCTTTTTTCGTTCGTACCAATTTTTGGAAAATCCTCGGGTGTAGGACTTTCCGCCTTTAGTAGAAACCTGTTGAATTATTAAATTTGGTCTGGGAGGTCCTAATTGTTTCGTTGCCAATTTATCTTAATTTGTTCGCCGACAAAAAGGAACTTCTTTCAAAGACACAATCGAGTTGGACTGAAGCCTAGCCATTTTGATAGTAGTAGTGAATTGATTGAGGCTGCTACCTGGTCTTTTCTTAGTTACGTTCATTCGTGGTTACGTTATGTATGACGAAAGCGCGTAAGTGCAAGCCCACAGACACCCATAGAGAATGTATTGAAAGCTTTGAAATGTGAAAAAAATAGATTTTACATGACAGGCTATGAGAGACTTCTGGGCGATTTTCAACCTGACTGAAATCGCCCAAAAAACGGGCGGGGCCATTTGAAGCACGACTTTAGCCTGATTTGAAATTTAGTGGCTGTCAGATCAGACGTGAACACTGATAACTGCTGTTGCCGTGATATAATTTTTTATAAATGTATAAAAAAAAAATATTATTTTTTTATTTTTTAAATTTTTTATAATTGATTAGAAAAAAAATCCCTTCCTTTTCCCGTTTGGCAGTGCGTCGCCCATATCGCCCTATTGAACAAGCCGTCCCTGCTAATGATCCATCATGTATGACATTCCTGGGAGTGTGTAAACTTACATTTTGTACTACCATATCCTTTTTGTATGTTCTCTATAGTTACGTACTTGAAAATTTATCAATTGACCAATTCGGCACATTTGGGCAGACTTGATACAAAATTGTCCAGTATTGCAATTCTTCACTGGATCAATCTGAAACTTTGCGCACACACTGGCGCCATCTAGTGGCCAGAATCTAAATTGCGCCTAAACTGCAATATTATATTGTGGCCTTTCTCTTGCATTTCAAAGATGATGGAACCCAAAAAATATTTGAAAACGCATGTTTTTTTGTTTGTATTATCTTTTACCAGATCTAATGTGTTTCATTCTCCTACATAAATGTCACATTTCCACAAACTTCAAAGTGTTTCCTTTCAAATGGTATCAAGAATAGGCATATCCTTGCTTCAGGTCCTGAGCTACAGCCAGTTAGATTTGGGTATGTCATTTTAGGCGAAAATTGAAAAAAGGGGTCCGATCCATAAGAGGTTTTAACCAGCATTATGTTTTATCGGTCCACTAAGAGGCAATCGGTGAATTTCACCCTCATACATATTTCCAGTTCAAATTCATACTAAACTATCTTAATTGCATAATAAAAATCATGATACATACTAAAGAGAGAGAGAGAGAGAGAAAGACGTGAGAAATATGTTTCCTGCTATCTTACAACTGGTGGGTTTGTAGTTACAGTACTTACTACACTATCATTGATTTATAGCAGCCATTCTTAAAGTATGGGTCGCGACCCACTTCTTGTTAATGGTGGGTCGCGACGTGTCAGAGTAAATGTACAATTATTTAATTAATTACTGGAATTTATTTGGCCAAGCGCAACTGCGCACTCTGTTCAGTGCGCTCTCTGCTTAGCAGCGGTCTCTGCTCAGTTTGGCAGCTGCGCGAGTGGGAGAGGGTGTGCTTCGCGGTTCTCTTGTAGATCACTCCGCGGCCCAGACGCTGCAGAGCTGTCGTTCAGCTGCAGATGATGCGCTGTCAGCCACTGAATTGTCATTCCCACTCGCCATCACTCACCGCTGTCATCAAATGGACTCATAATAGCCCCAAGTTCTGACTGAGCTCAATCGTCATGAAACGCAAATAGATGAGTTTCTCTCTCTTTCATACAAACTTTGAGAAATAACTACGTGCGCCCACAATGTGTTTTGTGCGGGGAAGTGCTTAGTAATGAGTCTCTCAAAACGAACAAATTAATAAAACGACACGTCCTGACCAAACATCCACAGCATGACGGTAAACCCAGGGAGTTCTTTCAGAACAGGGCAGAATGCTTCAGGAAACTGCTTCGACAGTGGAAAAGTAAGTCAGCTAGCAAGGCATTGTTGTCATTTTATAACAGGTGATGATCAGCAGAAATAAGGGAGTACTAGCTCTCATAGTAGTAGATGTGAGTTTCTCTTTCAAACAATCCCCTGGCCTTGTTCACAGCTAATAGCTAACGTTAGCCAAAGCAAGTAGCTAGCTACTGATAGTGCAACCCTTAGTAACAGTACAGATGAAGATGAAAAATGATCAGGTCTACTGTACATCTTACTGTAGAAATTATTGTTGAAAACAAGTCTAGGTTGGAACTGTTGCTGTTAAAATACAAGTAATAATTTTGATTCTGAACTGGAATAAACTGATTGAAGCAAGATGCTTTTTGAGGCAAACACACTCACACAGTTCTGGGTTCCACATCTACAGCAGGAAGCTGCCTGCCTGAGAAAGCAGTAGATGTTCTGATCCTTTTTGGCACAACATACCTATGCGAGTCAGGGTTCTCAACTCTGGCATACTTAAAAAACAAGTACATAAACAGTCTCAATGTTGAGCATGACCTCAGTGTTGCACTGTCAAAAACTGAGCCCAGAATAGACATGCTTGTTGAAAACTTCAACCAGCCACACACCTCTCATTAGGACTGTGCTTATGTTTTCTTGTCTACATCTGTGTGATGTGATCAATCAGTTTATTCCAGTTCAGAATGAAAGTGATTTCTTGTATTTTAACAGCAACAGTTCCGACCTAGACAGATATGTAAGAATGTTTTTAATGGGGGGAAATAAACATTAATAAATATTTATATGGGTATTTCATTTAATTGTTATTTGTTTCTGTCTATATTACGTTTGCTTTAGGTATAAGGGCAATGAAATGTACTGATATCTATGTATAGTTGCATATTTTCCTAAGCTTGGGTCCCAGGAAAACAGAATGTCTAATTTGGTCCCCCTGATTTATAGTATACTGTCCATCACTTCTGCCCTTCAACCACATGGTGGTGTTATAGAGAAGAGAAAACCTCTTCCAGTTTCCAGGGGAGTTTTGAGTTGGACTACTGCAAACTACAAAGTTAACAATGCAACCACAGGCTTAACAGCAGTCAAAAAATGACATAATTTTGTCTCCTTCACTCTCTCAGTGCGCTGCCTCTGTCCTCCACCTACAGTACAGTTCAGTACAGTGGCATGCAGTGCACACCATCACACCATACTCCATCAATTCTTGCAATTTGTAGCTGCCCTCCTCCATTCTGCACCATTTCTGTTAATCTCTGCTGACACTGTAGCGTGATCGCACCCAGAGAGGCAACAAAGACCCTTCCTGATTCACTCCAACTGAACACGAAGAACTACTGCAGTGTAACCGCTTACACAACACCAGGGATCTTTCTGCCATTGTAATACTTGGGCAGGCCGCCGAAGCATTTTTTCGGTTGCCTAAATCCAAACAGTGTTTTAAAAATGTTTTAAATACATTTTCGGGATGGAAAAAACGCTTGAAGTGTAAACTTAAACAACAAAAACAGATATAAATTATGTATAAAAGATAATGGACCTATATATTTATAAATAGTCTAATCTTTGAGAACTAACAATAACTAAAATAAAAGCTAGACAGTCAGAGAGAATTGAAAATGCCATTTAGAAGTATTCATTTAGTTATTAAGTGTGAGCAAAAGAACACAGCATTAGCCATGGCAAAATGAATAAAATCGCAGGAAATTAGCTTTCAAACTCGGCTCCATGGAGAAATGTGTAGAATTGCAGGAATTTGGCCTATAAATGCTCAAATTTCTCTACAGCACCAAGATGGGGGGCCCTAAAATGTTCTCTAAAAATGCTAATTGCCATGCCTTCTGCCACACCCCCTGCCACTCACACCACCTAAGCCCCTTTTTGACCCAGAAAAAACACTGAACTCAGACAGGAGATGCGTCCCAAATGGTACCTTATTCTCTTTATAGTGCACTACTTTTGACCAGGGCCCATAGGGTGCCATTTGGGACGCACACAGGGTTTATTTGATAGTAAAGTGGAGAGGGGAGGGGAGAGGAAGAGTAGAGTACCTGTAGCAGTTGTTGTGGAACTTGTTGTAGGAGGCCATAGTGATGAGCCCTCCCCATGCACATCCCAGAGAGTAGAAGATCTGAGAGGCAGCGTCTCCCCACACCTGGACAGACAAACGTGTCAATACAACCACTGAAGAACACCCTTATTTCATATCTGAGGCATATTACATCTGATTATCAAGCAGTCTCTTTCAACAGCTGTGTTATGAGAAAGCCAATAAGCCTATAACGTTACGCTATGAAGAGCTACAGAGCTATTATACGAGTAATAAAGAGTAACTGTTTACAACTCATATAAAGTAGTACTTAACTACAGTAATGGCATAGAATTACAGTTGAAGTCAGAAGTTTACATACACGTAGGTTGGAGTCATTAAAACTTGTTTTTTCAACCACTCCACAAATTTCTTGTTAACAAACTATAGTTTTGGCAAGTCGGTTAGGACATCTACTTTGTGCATGACACAAGTAATTTTTCCAACAATTGTTTACAGTTAGATTATTTCACTTATAATTCACTGTATCACAATTCCAGTGGGTCAGAAGTTTACATACACTAAGTTGACTGTGCCTTTAAACAGCTTGGAAAATTCCAGAAAATGACATCATGGCTTTAGAAGCTTCTGATAGGCTAATTGACATCATTTGAGTCAATTGGAGGTGTACCTGTGGATGTATTTCAAGGCCTACCTTCAAACTCATTGCCTCTTTGCTTGACATCATGGGAAAATTAAAAGAAATCAGCCAAGACCGCAGAAAAAAAATGGTAGACCTCCACAAGTCTGGTTCATCCTTAGGAGCAATTTCCAAACGCCTGAAGGTACCACGTTCATCTGTGCAAATAATAGTATGCAAGTATAAACACCATGGGACCACGCAGCCGTCATACCGCTCAGGAAGGAGACGCGTTCTGCCTCCTAAAGATGAATGTACTTTGGTGCGAAAAGTGCAAATCAATCCCAGAACAACAGCCAGGAAGAAGCCACTGCTCCAAAACCGCCATAAAAAAGCCAGACTACGGTTTGCAACTGCACATGGGGACAAAGATCATACATTTTGGAGAAATGTCCTCTGGTCTAATGAAACAAAAATATAACTGTTTGGCCATAATGACCATCGTTATGTCTGGAGGAAAAAGGGGGATCTTGCAAGCCGAAGAACACCATCCCAACCGTGAAGCACGGGGGTGGCAGCATCATGCTGTGGGGGTGCTTTGCTGCAGGAGGGACTGGTGCACTTCACAAAATAGATGGCATCATGAGGAAGGAAAATTATGTGGATATATTGAAGCAACATCTCAAGACATCAGTCAGGAAGTTAAAGCTTGGTCGCAAATGGGTCTTCCAAATGGACAATGACCCCAAGCATACTTCCAAAGTTGTGGCCAAATGGCTTAAGAACAACAAAGTCAAGGTATTGGAGTGGCCATCACAAAGCCCTGACCTCAATCCTATAGAACATTTGTGGGCAGAACTGAAAAGTGTGTGCGAGCAAGGAGGCCTAGAAACCTGACTCAGTTACACCAGCTCTGTCAGGAGGAATGGGCCAAAATTCACCCAACTTATTGTGGGAAGCTTGTGGAAGGCTACCCGAAACGTTTGACCCAAGTTAAACAATTTAAAGACAATTCTACCAAATACTAATTGAGTGTATGTAAACTTCTGACCCACTGGGAATGTGATGATAGAAATACAAGCTGAAATAAATCATTCTCTCTACTATTATTCTGACATTTCACATTCTTAAAATAAAGTGGTGATCCTAACTGACCTAAGACAGGGAATTTTTACTAGGATTAAATGTCAGGAATTGTGAAAAACTGAGTTTAAATGTATTTGGCTAAGGTGTATGTAAACTTTCGACTTCAACTGTACATAATTATGTTATTTCTATATGATTATCCACACCTTAGCGTCAAGGATCTTATGCCACTGTGGGGTCAGGTAGTACTTGATGCCGGTGACAGCTCCCTCCAGGGTGATGCCTCTGATGAAGAGGATGGTCAGCACCACATAGGGGAACGTCGCTGTGAAGTACACCACCTGGGGACCATCGAGAGGTTAAGAATGAGTGAGAAGATCTCCTAATGTGTGTCAATGATACACTATGACCAGGAGTTCTTCCTGACCATAGACTAAGTTACTTGACCAGGAAAAACTACTGGCCCAAACAATGACATTTGGAGGTGAGAGAGAGAGAGAGCTAGAGAGAAAGAAAGAAAGAAAGAAAAGAAACTTCACCTTTCCTGAAGACTTGACTCCTCTGATGAGACATAGGAAGACCACCACCCAGGACACGGCCAGACATCCCAGAATAGGGAGACGGACTTCCCCGAAATTCCCGATGTCGTCTGAGATCTTCAGCACGTAGTGTCTGTGGGGAAGGGAAAAAACGTATCACAGTGTCTATTCACAACAACAACGTCTGGATAGAGAAATGTAGAATATAGAGTCAGTGCTGCAGGGACAAATAATGGCAATACGTTACTTAATGAAAGATAGAGAAAAAGTATCGTTCGGATGTACCCTGGTAATTCAACGAGCGAAGCCCATATTTCAATGAAGCAGCACGACCAAAAACAACTTGGTGCCAACACAATGGATTATCTTTACTGACAGTTGACAGGAACAACGACTCCTTTCATGATATACTGACTGAGACAGCCCCACCCGGACGGAAAGCTAAGCACAAAACATTTAGAAAGTCATTAACCAACCACACTGCTTCCTTTGAATGAGCCCTATTCTCAATGCTAGGGGCATAAAACAGCTACACTCCTCCCCATTTACTAGGAATACAGATCATATTATTTTCTAGGAAAATATACTAAACATCTAATGGTGTGTACTTCAGACACAGTAAACTATGAGTAATGCTTGTTGAAGGCTGGATGATTAATCGTAGGCCCAGATTAGCAAGGCAAACATGCCTGCCTGACTGTTTTCTTTTCTGACTGGTCTTGTTTAAATCAACTGAAGCATCTAGCATCTCAAACATAGCCTTACAGAGATACACAAACACTATTTTGTTAACCCATAGTCAGACATACTTTATTTGCCAAAACCCGTCGGGTGCTGCTTTACTGTACATACATGTATCTAGGAGTAATAGTGTGTATTAACCCTTGCAGCTTCCACTCCAGTCTCTTTAATCTAGTACACCTGAGTCAGAGTCAGCCGTGCCCACACCTTCCCACTCAGGTACTGTAAGGTTGAAAAATTACGGTAACTCCTAAAATTCCCAGAATCAGAAAGGAATAAGCAGGAAATCTGGAATTCTCCAACCAGGTCTTCTGGAAAACCTGGGATTTTGCAACCCTACACGTTTTTAAATTTTTGTCATTTAGCAGACGCTCTTATCCAGAGCGACTTACAGTTAGTGAGTGCATACAAAAAAAAAATTCATACTACACTCGGCCTTACTTCCAGCACTCAACAGATCTAGAATAGGGCCAGGACAATACCAGTATCGCAATATTAACTTATTTAGGAAAACAGCCCTAATATTGGAAACAAACATCATTATGTTGTCATCCAGAGTCACATTTATTTATTTGCCAAGCTATAGCTCACAATATTTTACATACAGCAGGTTTTTAAAGACCAAAAAGTTTGGTCTGCTTCATTTTTACCATGTTAAACAATGTGCAATACAGGTATCGTCACAGCCCTTATCTAGAACAAGATCTTTTGGGATTCAAATAAAGATTGATAACTGACTCCGGGTCCGGTTAGGCCTTACTTCCAGTACTCTTCGCTGGGGCTGGTCCTCTTGGTCTTATTGACCACCTCCACGGCGACCTCGGCGGCCCCGGTGACCAGGCTGCGTGTGACGTTGGCCAGGGTGTTGTTGATGCCCGTGGGCGTCACCACGCCGTTGCAGGTGGGCGTGTTCCAGGGGTTGTTGCAGTAGGTCCACGGCAGCAGGTTGGTCATGGAGGAGAAGAAATAGTAGAAGGCGATGCAGATCACCACGTTGTAGTAGATACCGATGTAGGTGGACACCACCATCATCCCGTAGCCCACACCTGGTGAGGGAGAGGGAGTGAAACAACATTAGAACGATACCAGGAGCTGAACAGGTGAGTGGGTTTCTCTGACTGAAGTAATGTTGAAAATACTTTTTCAATTTTTACGTTACGCATATGCATTCCAAGCAGACAATAGATGTTGCCATTTAGTTTCCATCTTTCAGTTTCCTAAGCATGAGATACAGTCAGTGATTAGTTGGATGCCACTGACCAATAGCAGTGATGTATTGCCAATCACCAATGGCAGCAGTGGTTGTTGGCTTGCCTTTGAACATGACTGACCAATGGCAGCAGTGGTTGTTAACTGGCTCACCTTTGAACATGGGGCTGATCCTCCAGACCCCCAGGCATCCCTGGCTGGCGAACTGTCCGAAGGAGAGCTCCAAGAAGAACAGGGGGATCCCACAGAACACAAGCATGATGAAGTAGGGGAACATGAAGGCTCCTGTAGAACAACAACATGTGGGTCAGTCAACTCTACAGGGACAGGTCAACAGTTAGTCAAGCCAAAACATTTGTATGAAATTGTTTAGAATTCAGCTTTGTGTTATTTAAATCTTTACACTTTTACTTATTGTAAGTATGCATATGTTTATTATTGCTCACAACCAATGGCTTACCTAATGGTCATTCAAACGAAAAATCAAACAATATACAGAAAAATTGGCATTCCATGCTGTGACAATATCATATTTCTGCTATGTAATGCACAGTGAATGAGCAGTCAAATGTTAAGGTCATGTTTGTGTCTAGAATAGAAAAATTGCCTAGCTCATATAGAAAAGTTGGCATCCCTATGTCTGCAACATAATGCAGTGAGTTGTCAGATTACAAGGTCAGCGATATTTATGTTTATGCCAACCAGAAGAGGTGAAGGAGGTCAGGGAGCATCAGACAGAGGGTGATGCTAAACCAGGCAGCAATCCTCTGTCTGCTTGATTGGTTTAACGGGGCGCCACTGGGTCTGGGGAATAACCTGTCCTCTGGGACTATAGTCTGAAATCATGGGTTAAAGGAAGGACTGGAGATTGAGGAGCAGGCTGCGACACAAATGGCTCCCTATTCCCTATAGTGCACTACTTTTGACCAGAGCCTTCTTTTTACCTATGAGCCTTGGTCAAAAGTAGTGCACAATATCGGGAATAGGGTGCCTTTTGGGACGTAGCCCAGGCCTCAGCCAGCTGATAGTCTACTGTGGTGTTATTACTGCAGAGCCATGAGCTACACCAGTCCCCTTGGCTCTATACTCAGCTATGTATCTGTGTGCCCTTCTATGGCGATCCCTGGTCCCAAAATGTATAGAAGACTAAAGACAACTGTAGGAGTGAACACATTTGAATTGAGTGGGAATGAAGCTAAGAATGACTTGGATCCATCTGACACAATGTGAGGAACGTAAACTTAAACTTGACAACATTTTCAAAACACTGCAAAAGGTATTGTGGATAAACTAGAATGCATTGCTGTTATTACTACTATATAATTAATGTGTTCTGAGTATGAAGACGTACCTCCTCCATTTCTGTAGCAGAGGTAGGGGAACCTCCATACGTTTCCCAGGCCCACAGCATAGCCCACGCTGGTGAGGATAAACTCTATCTGGTTCCCCCAGTTCCCTCTCCTGGAGTTCTTATCCGTCTTCACGGGTTCCCCTGGAACAGCTCCATTCTAGAACACAAAGAGAGAAGAACGTTAGAGATGTTTGAACGTTAAGAGAGACCTGTATTTATTCAACCTCCAGGCTCAATGAGACACACCTCAACGAATAGGCCTATTCGGCCAACTACGTACATTTAGCTGAATGTACAGTTCCGAGGTGCACTTTGCACCAATATTGAATACAAACCAGCAAGACAGTGTGAAATAGGCTACTGTACTAGTGAATAGTCACTATGCTGCATTGTAGATGCCCAACACTAACAAAAAGTGTTGATGTCATGTAGGCAGTAGTTAGGCTAAAATTGCAGATGGCAAAAATGCACAAATGATTTAATTCTAGAGTACTTCTTTCCTTTTGTCCAGTTATAGGCCTAGTTCTACATTGCATGTTACAACTCCGAAGTCAAGGTGGGCGCATTGGAGCAAACTTGATTTAAACTGAAATAACCGTTCGTTGTGTGCACAAAATCAACATTTGGTCTTGTCGTCCTGATTTGAAGTTTCTTCCCTCCATCTGTTGGCGTCAGATGGTCCTCGTTCTGACCTGACCTCACTAACCCCAAAAGTTCACTACTGAGACTCTGTTACGTTCATCTGCCTCTAACTCACACAGCCAGAGCAACACTTGTTCCTTCCCATGGCACCACAGAAGCATTAATAAGTATTTAACATGTTATACTTTCAACACAAGTCATTCAGGTAAATGTTATACTATAGTAATCATAAATGTGACAAAGGTTCGGATTGCTGTGGGTTTTTGGTTTTGGTGTCTCTTACGGTGTGGCCTGGAGTGCACTGGGAGTGTGCACATTGGATATTATGTGCGGTCAGAGTGATATGGGAAGCTAAGTACACACGCAGAAGCACGAGCACACACACACGGTCTAACAGCACCATATGAGCCTGCTTGCTGAGCTCCCTGGGCCATTGCTCCCAGCAGAGTCAGCCTCACGCAGGCAGAAGACTTATTCATCAGCAAAAATAAAGACAAACAAAACAACAGAAAAATCCCATATTTTCGTGATTGCCCCCTAGTGATGTTTGGAGTCTGGTTGCGCCCAAATGTTACATTTAAAAACAAAGTTAACCTTTTTCACAAGAATCCCCAACCCCTCTGTGTTGAATTGTAAACTAAAGAGAGGATAAATAATACAGTATCAGCAAACAAAACTCTTGCATATCAATAACATTATTATTTAGTTATCTCTGGCTGTCCATTAAGTGTGTGAGACATATGCACCTGTGCGGATGTGTGGGAATGTGTGTGTGGAGGCTGCTCTCCTCAGTGTGATGCCTGTGTGTGTGTGGTGTGTGTGCATGTGTGCGTGCAAGTGTGTTTTAAGTGCTGAGAGTCTGGAGGAGGAGCACACCTGCTCAGTGTGAGGCGAGGGCAGGGCAGCTGTACAGCTGAGAGGGCCCAGGGTGGAATGAGAGTCCAGCCAACCCACACAACACAACACGGCAGACAGACTGGGTTGCTACATGTTGCCTGCTGACCGGCTGGCCTCCCACCTCCAGCTTCTCCACCTGTGAGAAGCCAAGTCTGTCAACACATGATGCAACTCATAGTTCACTCATAGTAACAAACTCAGCACATAAAACATAACAACTTTGACTTAAAATGCTCTACATAGGCTTAACCAAGCACTGATATGACTTGTTTCCATGCATGAGACATTGGAAAAGTCTTGGTAAACTATAGAGGTAACATTATTTCTAGGATTTGCTCTATTCCAACTCCTGTCCACTCCACCATCTGTTCCGATTCTCTCTCCAGGCTGTCTCTCTGACCTTGCTACTAGGCTGTGCCCCAAATGTCACCCTATTCCATACACCCTATAGGGCCTGGTCAAAAGCAGAGCACTAAATAGGCAATGTGGTGACAGACCGCCCCATGCAGATCCACACACTCAGCCCCTTCCCTTCCCTTCCCTTCCCATCCACATCGCACGCCCAGCTGGGCCCACTGCCCTTTATGTAATCTGCACACATTCTCTTCTCGCTCTCTTTATCACTCTCTCTCTCTCTCTCTCCTTCTCTCTGAAGGGCCCTTCCAAATCAGTGGCCCCGGCCCCAGCCTAACTCCCAATGTCCTGCCTCCTTCCAGTGCACTGCACACAGGTGCACCCCATGAGAGAGAGAAATATATAAGGGGGGTGGGGGGTGGGGTGGCAGAGAGAAAGAGAGATATAGAGAGGGACAGAGAGAAAGAGAGATATAGAGAGGGGGGAGAGGGACAGAGAGAGAGAGACAGGGTGGGAGGAAGAGGGACAGAGAGAAAGAGAGAGGGTGGGAGGAAGAGGGACAGAGAGAAAGAGAGAGAGAGGGTGGGAGGAAGAGGGACAGAGAGAAAGAGAGAGGGTGGGAGGAAGAGGGACAGAGAGAAAGAGAGAGGGTGGGAGGAAGAGGGACAGAGAGAAAGAGAGAGGGTGGGAGGAAGAGGGAGAGAGAGACAGAGAGAGAGAGACGTTTGAATCGTGCAAGGAAGGGAGAAAGGGTGAGTGTGCTCAAAGTATATGTAAAGACGATTCACATTCAGTGCTAAGACTTTGGCAAATAACATGATAGCCAAATTCATTTTATTAAAACCTGCCTAGGTCTTGGTCCACATAACTAAAACATTGACTAAAACACACACAGACCAATGCACTCTACCATTCCAGCTAATTTGATGGACAGCGGCACACTCCTAACAAAGCATGGCCAATGACAGCTGCGACCCTGTCATGGTGATAGACATGCTCCATCTTCACTTGAGTGTAAACCCAACCTAGGGCCTGACAAGAGTCCCAGAGAAGCAGCTTACTACTACAGTACACACAGTAGAGTAGATGAGACCTGATTTGCATGCCATACTGCCAACAGGAAAAGCCTAAATTGTGTCTGTTATTGTAAAGTTCCAGCCTACGAGGCCGGCTTGCGGCCCAGAGCTCCCTGGCATTTACTGACAACCCCTGCCTGCATCCTCACTAGGCATGCAACCATCACAAGCCATTATGTAGCCTACTGCGCCTCGATGAGCAGCACTATCCCCCAAAATCAGACTGTTTACTTGCCTGAGAGTGAGACATGACACATGCCTAAACTTTGTTTGTTGTACCAAGAACTATGCGAAGGACTGGCCCAAATGACTGAGTGATAGGCTATAAACTACAGTTTAAGGATACAACTCATTTTCATTTAATACAAGATCAGCAAGGGGGGGAAATAGGGAAGAGGAGACTGATAACGAAAACAAAACATATCATTTTACATTACTATGTATGAGAGATTTTTCAGCACTGCACAATTCCAAGTTGCACTGTACATGGGGGGAGATTGTGCATGTTCACTTATCATAGCTGAGTACACACATGCGCACACACACCAGGGGACCTTAACACACTTCTGCACATGTACCCCAGCACCTGATTCACACAGCTAGTTACCTCCTGTTCCATCACTATTACTGGGGACTGTAGACTCCTGACCATAACTGAAGGAACAATAGTGACAAACCATCAAATCAGCCTGTATGTACAGTGCATTCGAAAGTATTCAGACCCCTTGACCTTTTCCACATTTTGTTATGTTACAGCCTTAATCTAAAATGGATTTTAAAATAAAGTTTCCTCATCAATCTACACACAATACCCCATAATGACAAAGCAAAAACAGATTTGACATTTAAAAAAACTGAAATATCATATTTACATAAGTATTCAGACCCTTTACTCAGTACTTTGTTGAAGCACCTTTGGCGTCGATTACAGCCTTGAGTCTTCTTGGGTATGACACTACAAGCTTGGCACACCTGTATTTGGGGAGTTTCTCCCATTCTTCTCTGCAGATCCTCTCAAGCTCTGTCAGGTTGGATGGGGAGCGTCGTTGCACAGCTATTCTCAGGTCTCTCCAGAGATGTTAGATCGGGTTAAAGTCCGGGCTCTGGCTGGGCCACTCAATTACATTCAGAGACTTGTCCCGAAGCCACTCCTGCGTTGTCTTGGCTGTGTGCTTAGGGTCGTTGTCCTGTTGGAAGGTGAACCGTCGCCCCAGTTGGAGGTCCTGAGCACTCTGGAGCAGGTTTTCATCAAGGATCTCTCTGTACTTTTCTCCGTTCATCTTTCCCTCAATCCTGACTAGTCTCCCAGTCCCTGCCACTGAAAAACATCCCCACAGCATGATGCTGCCACCACCATGCTTCACTGTAGTGATGGTGCCAGGTTTCCTCCAGATGTGATGCTTGTCATTCAGGCCAAAGAGTTCAATCTTGGTTTCATCAGACCAGAGAATCTTGTTTCTCATGGTCTGAGTGTCCTTTAGGTGCCTTTTGGCAAACTCCAAGCAGACCATAAAGGCCTGATTGGTGGAGTGCTGAAGAGATGGTTGTCCTTCTGGAAGATTCTCCCATCTCCACAGCGGAACTCTGGAGCTCTGTCAGAGTGACCATCGGGTTCTTGGTCACCTCCCTGAACAAGGCCCTTCTCCCCTGATTGATCAGTTTGCCCGGGCAGCCAGCTCTAGGAAGAGTCTTGGTGGTTCCAAACTTCTTCCATTTAAGAATGATGGAGGCCACTGTGTTCTTGGGGACCTTCAATGCTGCAGAAATGTTTTGGTACCCTTCCCAAGATCTGTGCCTCGACACAATCCTGTCTCGGAGCACTAGGGACAATTCCTTCGACCTCATGGCTTGGTTTTTGCTCTGATATGCACTGTCAACTGTGGGACCTTATATAGACAGGTGTGTGCCTTTTCCAAATCATGTCCAACAAATGTAATTTACCACAGGTGGACTCCAATCCAGTTGGATCAATGGAAACAGGATGCACCTGAGCTCAATTTCGAGTCTAATAGAAAAGGGTCTGAAAACTTATGTAAATAAGGTATCTGTTTTTTATATTTAATACATTTGCAAACATTTCTAAAATCCTGTTTTTGCTTTGTCATTAGGGGGTATTGTGTGTATATTGATGAGGAAAATGTTTTATTTAATCAATTTTAGAATAAGGCTGTAAAGTAACAAAATGTGGAAAAAGGGAAGGGGCCTGAATACTTTCCGAATGCACTGTAGGCCACACAATGTACATTAGATCTTGTTTTATGGATTTTTATTCAACTCTTTGGCCTAGGTCTTGTAAATATATATTTGTTTGTCATATGCTCAGTACTTGCTGGCTGACCTAGAGTTATACAGAGGTGTTGAAAAAGGAAATCAGAAGGAGCACAACATCTCACAAACCAACAAAGTACTAAAAACCATCTCAGAAACCAATCAAGTACTAAAAACCATCTCAGAAACCAATGAAGTACTAAAAACCATCTCAGAAACCAATGAAGTACTAAAAACCATCTCAGAAACCAAATAAGTACAAATGCTATCACAGTTGCATTTAACCTGGTCAGTGCACTTATTTTTGGGCATGTAGACCTATAGTAAAATCGCTGAGGTCAATCAAAACGCTTGAGATTAGGCCTTTAGCTCACCATCACTAAGACAACCATCAGACAAAACATTGAGCCTTTGCAGCCTAGAGGAAACCGCTATAGGTTAGCAAGCTTCCGACAATCCTCACCAACCAACAGTATTTCACTGAGGACATCCCTAAATAAACAGATAAGAAGAAAGGAGGGATAGAAGGAAGGATTGATGGAGTGTCGCGGTCGTTGAAGAACGGGTCAGACCAAGGCACAGCATGAAATGCATACATGTTTATTAAACTGAATAAACATACAAAAACAACAAAAGGCAACGAAACGTGACGTCAGAAGGCTATACACTAACAAGCCAAACTCACCGAGCACAAACAAGATCCCACAACACAGGCAGGAAAACTGGTCCCCAATCAGAGACAACGAGCGACAGCTGCCTCTGATTGGGAATCACACCCGGCCGAACATAGAAATACAAACATAGAATGTCCTCATAGAAAACACACACATGATATTCACACCCTGACCAAACTAACTAGAGTTCTATAGGTCAGGGCGTGACATGTACCTTCAGGGTCTGATCAGTCCCTACACCCAAACGAGGACATTGCGTTCATCCACCTCTGGCCTGCTGGCTCCCCTTCCTCTGCGGAAGCACAGCTCCCGCTCAGCCCAGTCAAAACTGTTCGCTGCTCTGGCACCCCAATGGTGGAACAAGCTCCCTCACGACGCCAGGACAGCGGAGTCACTCACCACCTTCCGGAGACATTTGAAACCCCACCTCTTTAAGGAATACCTGGGATAGGATAAAGTATTCCTTCTAACCCCCCCCCCCCCCCCCCAAATTGTAAAGTGGTTATCCCACTGGCTATAGGGTGAACGCACCAATTTGTGAGTCGCTCTGGCTAAGAGCGTCTGCTAAATGACGTTAATGTGCCCTTGAGCAAGGCACTTAACCCTAATTGCTCCTGTAAGTCGCTCTGGTTAAGAGCGTCTGCTAAATGACTAAAATGTAAAATGTAAATGTACATGGAGGGAATGTGCTTGGTCAGCACTTCTTTTTTTATTTATACCAGCTACGGCTGGAAAACTAGAGGAATTCTGATTTCAAGAGAATAAAACAGTTTATTATGGATTATCCTGACAATTACATTGGCATAAGCTACGCAGTGTATGTGAATTGATGCTCGCTACTCTCGCACAAAAATGTTACGCCCTTGACGGACGTCTCCCCATGTGATTTGGGCTTTATGTAGCTAGGCCAATTCTAAAAAGCATTTAGAAAAAGTTACGTTTAAAAAAATAGGTTTAAAAACAACAACGAAACATGTGTGGCTGTTGGTTTGAAACTTGTTCAATAAAACGTTTTAAAAAATACCCATTATTGCTCAGAAGTGAAGACTCTTCCATCAATAGAACACCCTCCCAACAACTCTCTAACATTGGAAGCTCAGTGGAGTGCTGAAGAGATGGTTGTCCTTCTGGAAGATTCTCCCATCTCCACAGCGGAACTCTGGAGCTCTGTCAGAGTATCCTAACACCCCTTTTACCAACCATTCTATCTGAGTTTGAATGTCATTTGAAAATAACTGAAGTTGATAAAAGACCAGGTTGTTATCAAACTTCAAATCAAAGTCAACCAAGAGTGACTAATACATACTCATTCCAGTAACAATTCGTTTAAAGTGCCACCTGTAGATACCCTAGCTAACTAACTAACGTCACCTTGGGAGTAAACACGAGTGGGTTCAGTTGTACTCAACTGTGATTAAATAGACCTGGATCCTCAATGTCCTTAAAGGCCACATTATAAAATGTATGTGAGGTGAAAGTAATTTCACTAAATACAGCGAGACTGTGGCTTCTCACACGGCTAGTGGAGGGCCACATTCCTCTAGATCCCATTGGGCATGGTGTGAATACCTACTTTCCATGGTTGATTAATTAAGTGTAATGGTGAGTTGTCAGGAAAGACAGGGGAAAATTGGGCCCAGTCACAGCAAATGGAGGGCTTTGATGGCCTCCCAGAAGCAGGGGTCATCTCTGGGTTACATCACTCAAACACTGCTTACAGTCACAATCACATCAAGATCCCCAGGGTAGCTGGCTGGAAGACTTGATCCTATACTGCATCATGGACAGCAAAACATCCCTTTCTATCGTTAAACTAGGACTTTGTTTAGAATATCTGAGAAAGTGTGCTTTAAAAGTTATTGAAAGTCATATCTTGATCATACAGAATTTTGATTGAATTTCAAATTGTAGATATACATTTTTTATATTTTGATATAAAAACATTAAATCAAATATTTGGATTACAGTTTAACAGTCCCCCCCCCCCCCCCCCCCCCCCAAAAGCAACACATCAAATATATATATATATATATATATATATATATATATACAGTGGGGAAAAAAAGTATTTAGTCAGCCACCAATTGTGCAAGTTCTCCCACTTAAAAAGATGAGAGAGGCCTGTAATTTTCATCATAGGTACATGTCAACTATGACAGACAAAATGAGAAAAGAAATTCCAGAAAATCACATTGTAGGAT